AAGGATTTTTTAAGATTGACAAACATCATATGTGTAATTCATGGCACAATTCAAACGGGATCGAAAGATAAGTTTTCTCTCTCCATTGACTTCAATACATTATTATTCCGAAATAAGGTCCCATGGACTGGAAGTAGATGGGCGTGACTTCGCCACTCTATTATCCTCCAAAGATGGCCACGATGTCCCAGAATGCACCGCTGTTCCCATTACCTATAGAGAGGCGAAGTCCCGCCCATCTACTTCCGACCCATGGGACCTTATTTCGGAAAAATTATATATTGAAGTCAATCGGGAGAGAAAGATTATCTTTCGATCCCGTTTGAATTGTGCCACGAATTACACATATGATGTTTGTCAATCTTAAAAAATAATTTCCATTTAAAAAAAGTCACAGTTTGTCTTAAAACTGTTGAAATATAAGACTATGAAAAATACGCAACTAGAAAGACTACAAATCCCAGAATCCCGGTCCCACATGCTGGCTCTTACGGAACCGACTAACTCCCCTTTTGTGTATGTACAGCTCTCAACATGCCCAGATTTGTAGTGATTTTCACCTCTTTTAATACTTTTCGCCTCATTCTGAAAGAAAGAAGTGAAATGTGCCAACGTGACGGCCGTCTTGGTGTGTGGTGCGAGACGGGAGATGTAGTTCATTGAGCGGTTTCACACAAAAAAAAGTGTTACTTCACAGTTTTACGACACATTTGCAAAATTATCTTTTAAATTGACAAACATCATATGTGTAATTCGTGGCACAATTCAAACGGGATCGAAAGATAATCTTTCTCTCGCCATTGACTTCAATACATAATTTTTCCGAAATAAGGTCCCATGGAGGTCCCCCGGAAAGGGAGGGACATAGGGCCTAAGCAGGGCCGTCCCTCCCTACAGGCCGATCATGCAGGCTGCATGGGGCCTCACATTGCGCAGGGGGCCTCGTGCAGGGGGCCTCGGCTTATGAGCTCGGCTTGTGCGCAGTTCTCCGCGCAGTTCTCCCCGCAGTTCTCCGGTCACCCCCCCCCCCCCGCTGACACGCGAGAGTGAGAGGTGACAAGGGGAGCACGTCTATAACCCGACACCGTTGCAATGAATCAAAATCTGACCAATCACGGCTGTGATATGGCCACTAGTGCAGGTGAAGAGATGTTGGCGAAAAGACAGTTTCAGTCCGGCGCAAGCAAGAGGAAAAAAACAAAAAAACATGAAGAAACTAGAAGGTGGGTTATTGTATGAGTCAAATGTACAACTTGCGAATGTTGTAAGTAAAATGTCAAACTTTTGCCAATTGCCATATTAAAACATCAGCTGCAATTCACGACATGAAGAAGGCAGTCTCTGCATAGTATATAGGCTAATGGAGATGCAGTTATTTCCAGCATTCTTTATTTACCATTCATTCAAGTATTTTATGCCTTTTATCTGCTAATGTACAGGTGGAAGAGTGATAAACTGTCTGTCTAGTTGATTTAGATAACAGTTCAAGTTTACAGCCTAAAAAACATGGAGCATTGTTTTCCCCTTTTATTCATTTTTATGTCAATTTGCACATTTCATGGTGATGCTCAGCCTCTCCCCTTAACTCCTAATAGTCATCATCATGTCAACCACAACACAGATAAATACTGATAGAAATGTGTGTGTAGTTGTTGATACATTGCTGACAGAGGGAACTACATTTGAATACAGATTTAAGAAATATCAGTTTTTGAGCATGTAATAAGCATGTTTTGTCTTGACTATATTACAACTATATTATAATAAAATAAGATAGTATTTATATTATTGAATTGATTATGATTATTATTATTAGTAGAAGTAGGTTATTTGCATTAATTATATTAAAAACTGCTCTGGAGATGTTGTCATTTCTCCACAAAAGTGAGTTACAGGAACTGTACCCAAATCTCTGGATTGCCCTTGTCACTACCCGATCTTCCGCCCTGCCCTATCTGCAGCATGGATGTATAATAAGAACTGGATACAGCGTGGGAGGCGAGGCCTCATTCATTCCTATGAGAGTTGCTCATTCGCGCATGATGATAAAATGGCCCAACTTTTGAGAGAGCGAAACTTCACAGATTACCCGGCATGCCTGAGAAGTACCCGTATGTGCGCTCATAGCACATGCGCAACTTTAACCATGCCCCCCAAAATGCTCGTTCACATCAAGCACGTCAATTTGCGTACACGTAACAGCACCGCATGTTCATGACAGCATGGTAATGGATTGTTATTATGATAGATTTGATATTAACGAGGCGGCAGTTAGCAGCTAGCGGTTAGCTAGTAATTATGCTAATTTACACATCAATCGTTATGTACTTTTATATTACGCTGTAACAGGATCTAGTGATATCCAAGCAACAGAGCTTCATTTAGCATGAAAGAATTATTGCACCGTATATATATGTATATGTATGTATATATATATATACATATATATACATATATATACATATACATATACAAATATATATATGTATATATATGTATATGTATATATATGTATATATGTATATATGTATATATATATACTGGCAACCAAAAGGAAGTGTAGTACCGCCGTTTGGCCACCACGAATATTTTCATCTGAGTCCGGCGCACTTCCTGGGGGCTTGATCTGCAGTGCGCATGTGCGAGATGGTCCGCCATATTGGACAACTCCGTACGGCAACCCAACTAGGACACTTGACACAGTGGCATTTGGCAAAGCACACAAAGAAAACAAAAAAAAACGAGAGAGATGAGTTATTGTTATTACAACGTGACTTCACTATTATTTAACAACTCTTTTTATTGGGTTCTTTTATTTGGGGTTAAGTACATTGTCAGAATAAGTGAGAAATGGATTTAATTTCTGTTAGACAGCTATCATACTGAATAAATATTTACTGTGAATGTATGCAAAAATGTATGGCATATGTCTAACAGAAGTTAAATCCACTTCTCACTTATTCTGACAATGTACTTAACCCCAAATAAAAGAACCCAATAAAAAGAGTTGTTAAATAATAGTGAAGTCACGTTGTAATAACAATAACTCATCTCTGTGTTATTTTTCTGCTTTGCCAAACGCCACTGTGTCAAGTGTCCTATTAGAGTTGCCGTATGTAGTTGTCAAATATGGCGGACCATCTCCCACATGCGCACTGCAGATCGGGCAGGGAGGCAGATCGGGTAGTGACAGCCCTCCGCATTGCAGTAACTCTTCCTGTTACAGTTGCGTCTGCTGAGAGAAGCTTTTCCAAATTGAAGCTTATGAAGACGTACCTCCGGTCGTCAATGGCACAAGAACGCTTAAGTGGCCTGGCTATCATAAGCATCAACGCACAGTTGGCACAGCAGCTGTCATACGATGACCTTGTCGATGACTTTGCATCCAGGAAATGCCGACGTATCAGCGACGTGCAGTCAGGGGAGGCAGGGGAGGCAGAGCCTCACCTGTCATACTCCAATGTAACGGAAAAACAACTAAAGAAAAACTAAATAGTAATAATAATAATAAAATGTCTCCACTGATCTGTGTTGTAAGTGTGATTTATGTATGATTCCAATCACTTTTTATAGTCAAAATCAGCAAATTTGCCGAGCTCCGCTACGGGAGCGATGAGAAGTGAGGCAGGGACGTGCTCTGCCTCTCGTAAGCCCACAGTAACTTGCTGGAGCACGGGCACTAATTTAGCGCGGGCACTTATTTTGTGAGCGCGCTCAAGACAGTTACTGTGGGGTAAGGTGAGGCACAGATGAGATCTGCCTCACCTCAGAATGCGTCACCCCACAGAAACTGGCTGGAAAGCGGGCCCTAAGCGCATGTCTGTTACCATCTCACTGTAGGTCGCCAATGTAATGTTTGTAGATCCCTTTATTACATTTATCCTCGCCATCCATAGTCTCTAAATAACTTATTTCACATATATATGATATTTAGGCTCGCTGGTCTCATCATACAACGGCAATGAAAAAAGCACCAGGGGAGGCAGCCATAACCTCTGCCGCACTGAAGGGGGCGCACGTGAGCCCACAGGTTCTTGTTGCTACTGTAATTCTACGCAGAGACGGTAGACGCAAACAACAAACTAGACTTTAGTTTTGAAACTAGAGGGAGATAAGGAGGACTTTTACAAAAAAGTAATAGAGATTGTTGTCCAGAAGGATAGCATGGACTTCATCTTCAAGTCAAGGTAAGACCACATTTGTAATGAAAATGGGATCTTACTAAGAAAGAACAATCCAATATTTAGATTTTGGGTATCCTTTTGTTGAACGGTCTGTTTAAAATGAATCGAAGCATCAGACTAAAAAAGCTTTTGAAAATAACCGAATATTTCGATTAAGGTCAAAATATAATATTTGTAAATCTGACTCAGTGAGTCAGTGCCTCACCAGCCATGAACCTCACCGCACGTCACTGCGACGTATTCACCTGTAAACGCATACTGAACGACATACATGCACATTTACCATTTACCTCACTGTATAAAAAAGTAACTGTGTTGATGATAATAATCAACAGGAATTATATTTGCAAAGTACTTTGTTTCCCAAAAATGTTTTTCACTCCTGTCGGTGGGGGGGGGGGGGGGGGGGGGGGGGCAAGTTGGCCAAGGACGGCCCTGGGCCTAAGCCATAGTAAAAATAAAAATATAAGCTTTTTGCTGACAAAACATGATAATGAATGGAAAAGTCCAAAATGTTCACTGGGAAAAGGCCCGTCACCTTTTAAGTGCAGCAAGCAAAGTAAATAAACTAGGAAAGAAACTAAATAATACCTCATCATATTTCCCCAAACCCATGCTTTCATTTTTAACGCAGCAGGTCTAATATTGTACATCTATGCAAATGCTTATTATCTTATGTATTGGTATAATGTCAAATGTTAACTTGTACCAACACAGTTAGCTTTGGCAACGTAACGTGTAATAATTCAGAGAATGCCTAAAAACCTCTTCACCCATTTTTGCGCATGCGCGTCAGTCGGTCGGATCCATCTTCACTCCATCACACATCCGGGTCCTCAGTGTCATATGACCAGTGCTGTCATTTAAGTCATTCAGCTGCAGCTGAAAAAGCACATCGACCAACGTTAGCTTTCTGAGGTTTCCTGTTCTTTATCCAACGATGGCAACATTGGTGGCAAACAGAGCGATGGACATCAACGGCTTGTCAGCAGCTGCAAGGACACACACCCAGGCTGTGACGAGAAATTACATCTCCCAACCTCGGCTAAGTATGTAACGTTAGCAGGCTGCGGGAGCTAGCTGCAGCTGTAGCTAGTAGCTAGCAAGGTTGTTGTGCTGCATTCAAAGACAGGGGAACGGTGAGGAATGTAAACTCCTCAGTATACTCAGAGTATCTCAAGCTTTTATTTGTAAACTACACCAACAAACCTAATTCCTTTGACATTTTGCATGAAAACATTTTAGCTTTCATTAAGGACAGTAATGGGTTGTATTAATATGTAGTTATTAGGGTCCTGGAAAAGGGAAATAGTAGTTGGATGACCCAATTGGATTTCAATGAATTCCTGAATTGTAAATCTTGGAATAATCTGTTTCCAGAAATAAAACCGTTTAATTTCAGTCACGGGACTGTTGGTTTCGAAATGTAGCCTAAATACGAACTTGGTGTAATATTGATGAAGATGATGCCTTTTCATTGAAGACTGTGTATTCCCAGTAAACTTGAATGCAGCATATGTTGGTTAGCTATAAATTGTGGATCACGACTGCAAACAAGCTAATGTTTGCTATTTTTACGATGGCAATTCAATCCGTATTAATGTTGCTTATAGTAGTATAGCCGATTTCACAATTGGCTATACATGCCGTTTTTCTTTTGTATGTGTTACATGTACGTCAGTCAGTCGTGTGAAATGGCAAACCAGCTTAGCTAGCATGCTAGCTGTAGAGTGGCTAGTCATGCGCAGAGTCTTCGTTAACCAATTTCGCACACTTAAAACTGTGCTCATTTATTTTACCAAGCATAGTATGATTCAAATTGTACGTTACAACATAACGGGAAAATCCCATTATTGTCACTAGTGATTACTGCGTACAAGCTCAGCGTTTCTACAACGCGATACCGCTAACGTTAGCTTAATGTCACTACACAGGATTGGCAAACACTGCAGACAGTCAGCTGACTGATGGTAGCCACAAGAATAAATGACCCAGCGTGCTGTGTGTTTTAATCTATTGACTTGTTATTGAAACATGTAGTGCAAGCTAAACTGCCTTACTGTTACTGTGTGGTGCTATAACAATTCATTTTTAACATTTGTGTAGATGTGTTAAGAGCAGACTGATGACAGATTGGATGATCTGTCATGTGACATGATCACATGAGCGTGCAGCCTGCAGTGTCGTTGACGCAACACAACCTTCAGTTTCGGGCCTGATGGAAAGAAAATGCTTTTTTATTCATTATAGCTACAGTTGTTGAAAAGGTTTAGTAAAGCTCACATATTGAATAATAAAGCAACACAAATTAAGCCACACCTATTCATGGTTTACTACAGTGACCCATAGTTGAATATTTGGAAGATTGCTTCAAATATTTATCCGTGGGGCATTGTAGCCATCTTTTGAGGATAGCGTCAATAGCAATGGCACTTAATCCCTATTGGCTTTCACCAGTCATTTTTCAGCTTTTTTCATTTTCGATATGAGTAAAATACAAGTTAAATAAAATTGCCCTCACCAACAGAAGCTTACGACAGATGAGTGTTGTTTTACTGAGTTAAAGTTAATAAATGAAATTATTCCTTTTATATTAAAGGTCTCCTATTATACTGTTATACATCAATATATTATAGGTCTCAGATATACAAAACATGTCTCTGAAGTAATCTGCGGCCGCGAGCTGTTACTTATGTGCGCGCATGGTGTTATTTTTTTATATATTATAATGAAGCGCGAGCTGTATGCTTGAGTCTTCCTGTCTGTCGGCTGAACTCTGCTGCTCCGCGATGAGGGTCTAACTTCAGCAGCTACATTATCTACGGGTGCGTTCGTTAATCCTAACTGTGCGGTCCGGAGTCACTGTGGCACAGACTGGACCGCTGGTGAACAGCTGTTAGAACGGGCCGTTCAGGTGTTCAGAGCAGCGCTCCCTGTCGGAGCGGCAGAGCGTGATGTGAACTGAAAGGTTTTTCTGTTGCAATATTATTTAAGGACTCAGATCTTGTACTTGAGTAAAAGTAGAAGTACTCAGGTCTTGTACTTCATAGGGATTCTCCGATCGATCGGCCGCCGATCGATATCGGCCGATACTCACTCTCTGCCGATCGATCGGTGCTCTCTAAAAATGCCGATCGGGAGAGCCGATCGCATTACGTAAAATGATGGCGTAAAATACATGACACTTTTCTCTGTGCGCGGCAAAACAAGCTCGCCAAAATGGCTTCACCAGTCTGGCAGTATTTTAAGGTGTCCGAAAATGACAATAAAATAGCGGTATGCAACGTGTGTGAAGCAGAAATCCTGCAGCTCCACCCGCTGTGACGAACCGGTGAGCGGAGCAAAACACACACTAAGAGTTCGACCTAACACACTTAGCTATTTTATCTACCTCTGGAGCTAGCTAAACTAGTTATAAATATGTTTATTCTTCACTGTCGGGTCACTCATTAGTGGATCAGTGAGCTGCATGAGATACTGACAGGCTGTCAGGAGAGAGAGAGAGGGGGAGAGAGGAAAAGAGAGCGCTTCTGCTAATTTCTCCCGTGTTATTATCCAAAGTTAATGTAAACTTGAATAATGTACTTCATTTGAATGTAATAATTATGTTGGTTGTTGTTTGTGGAAGCGCCAGTGAATGAGCCCCATTAACTGAGTTTTAAACATCACTTTAGATGGAAGATCTCGGATCGGCGATCGGTATCGGCCGATACTGATTCCGGCGATCGGCCCCAAAATTGGCTATCGGAGCATCCCTAGTACTTGAGTAAAAGTAGAAGTACTCAGGTATTGTACTTGAGTAAAAGTACCAGAGTGTAGGAAAAGTCCTGCAATCAAAATGTTCCTCAAGTAAAAGTACAAAAGTATTATCATCAAAATATAGTTAAAGTACAGACAGTAAAAGTAGTGATTGTGCAGATTGGTCCATTTCAGAATAATATATCATATGTTTTATAATGATTGATAATTAAAATGTTATCAAAGCTGGTAAAGGTGCAGCTAGTAGTGATGGGAGTTACGGCTCTTTGAAGGGAGCCGGATCTTATGGCTCCGTTTACTTTCCGAGAGCCGTTCAAAAGAGCCATTTTTTTTTTTTTAAGGTGGCGGGGTTAATAGGTTCATCTGTGAAATAATCACCATGATAATGATTGACTGTATTGCCAGCAATCTTTTTCTCACAGAAAAATGTATAACTTGCTACATCTCTCAGCCAGCCGAACTACTACTCAAGCAGCATGCGTTATGCCATCATCTATGGCAAATGTGCATTCAGGAAAGCAAGTTCCCGTAAAGGCGAGTGGATTTATGGCAGGCAGTGAACCAACGATAAAAAGAACGGCTCTCACCAAGTACGACTCGGTTCCCTTCGTTCGTACTAAAGAGCCGTTCAAAAGAATCGGATCGTTCGCGAACGTAACATCACTAGCAGCTAGTTTGAATGACTTTGTATACTGCAGGGTAGCTTGTGAATTTACTCCAGGTGGAACTAAAGTCTGATTTAAGACTTGATTATATTTCACATAGGGATGCTCCGATCAGGGATTTTGGGGCCGATCGCCGGAATCAGTATCGGCCGATCCGATCATCGGGTGGGTGGGGGCTATGGGGATCTTCCATTTAAAGTGATGTTTAAAACTCAGTTAATGGGGCTCATTTTTATATTGCTTCAGTTTATAATCGTAACGGATCGAAAAGTTCAGATTAATTTTTCAATACATGATGGCTTCCACAAACAACCAACATAATTATTACATTCAAATGAAGTACATTTTTCAAGTTTACATGAACTTTGGATAATAACACGGGAGAAACGAGCGGAAGCGCTCTCTCTCCCTCTCTCTCTCTCTCTCTCTCCTGACAGCCTGTCAGTATCGTCTCATGTAGCTCACTGATCCACTAATGAGTGACCCGACAGTGAAGAATAAACATATTTATATCTAGTTTAGCTAGTTCCAGAGGTAGATCAAATAGCTAAGTGTGTTAGGTCTAACTCTTAGTGTGTGTTTTGCTCCGCTCACCGGTCCGTCACAGTGAGTGGAGCTGCAGGATTTCTGCTTCACACACGTAGCATACCGCTATTTTATTGTCTTTTTCGGACACCTTGAAATACTGCCAGACTGGTGAAGCCATTTTGGCGAGCTTGTTTTGCCGCGCACAGAGAAAAGTGTCATGTATTTTAAGTCATCTGATCGGCTCTCCTGATCGGCCTTTATAGAGAGCACCGATCGATCGGCAGAGAGTGAATATCGGCCGATAACGATCGGTGGCCGATCGATCGGAGCATCCCTACTTTCACATCATTAATCTAAATCTGTAAAGTAACTAAAGGTATTAAATACATGTAGTGGAGTAAAAGTACACCTTTTACCTCTGAATTGTAGAGGAGTAGAAGAACAAAGTAGCAAAACATTGAAATACTTAAGTAAAGTATAAGTAACTCAAAATTGTACCCACGTATAGTACTTGTTGAGTTTATGAACTTAGTTACTTTACACCACTGGCTATAAAGATAGAAAGACTAAGCCTTGAACAGAGGCATGAAAATACATTTTCAAAATGCTCAACAGTGCTGCGAAATTATAAACTGACTGCTACACAATTAAAATAAATGCTTTTATATATTTATATTAGATGTGACTCTTTGGCGATTCTGTTATTATTGACACTGCTGCTTTAGTTGTTCTGACTGCTAAAATCATCTGTTATTCCTCATTTTAAAGCCGATATTCCGGGGGCTCGGGGGGCTTGGATCCTTGTCACCTTTTTCATACCTGATGAGTTTGCATCCCTGACTTTAGATGAAAATAAGGAGCCGCTTCCCACGCCCCTCAGAGAGATATTTGATTAAAAAGAACACAATAGGCGCTTTCACACCAGAGTACTTTTCCCAGGAATAGTTCCGATAGTTCCTCGGATTTTGCTTTCACCCCAAAAAGATAATTTGACCAAAAGGTTGACATATTTCATATTGAATAGTGGCACAGTGGTTCCACATGGTTACTTAAATCCAAAATACGTTATCCAGTATGAATTTTAACTATCCATGGTC